TTTTTTTTGACAGAAGCTGTAAGCCACGTTTCCGTTACTGAAAAGCAGTAAATGAGACGCGAAATCCCCCGCTTTCTTAGCGAGAAAAAATTCGGTTACTTGTTTTTTCGTCTTCGAATGAGAGGCAGTTTTTGATCCCGAGGCATACGCATGCATACACTTCGTCTTTCCAAAAATTCGATTTATACATGCACTGGCGTCATTGCAAAAAATAGCGAATTTTACAAAATGATAACATGCAAGAAATGTAGCAGTACGAACCTGCTGTGCAGCTTTTTTGGACCAGTTCCATCCGGCGGCAAATACCGACTGTTTCTTGGTTTGAGCGGAAGCATGTGGATGGTGTCGGAAAATAGGTGGCGCATCCGGCGCAACCAGTAGGTGATTGCACACGTTAGTCGGAGGACGATGCGGGAGCGGTGATGTCAGTGCAGCGCCCATTGGGTATTCGAAGAAAACCAGTACTTTTGCCGGGCGTGTTAAGCAAAGTTTAGAATTCGGTAACGCTAGCTGTGAGCTCTATATTACGGTGCATCTGAATTTCTGAAGCTATTTCGTGCATATGCTACTGCTTTACAGGCCTAAAGAGGTACTGGTCGATTTTGATCACACTCTTACAGTCGAGTGCAAGAACCATGAAGGAGAATTACTGCTGAAGCAGAATGAATGACGAAATAATTTTCTTGTGCTGAATCCAGTAGCAGAAAATGCAGATATTTCAGTGAATAATGAATGAGACAATCGAGATAAGACCTGACAGCAGCACTCCGTGGCCAGTTCTTAGCAAACTTGAAAGTAACAATACAATTGACAAAAGCAACCAAAGATTCGAAAAAAGCCAGCTGAATTAAACAGTTCGTACAATACGCGAAAACGAATGCGCCTGCTAAGTTCTCCTGAAAAGAAACAGCAGGATGTAGTGCAAAGTAGCAACATAAAAGCAAAGTGCATGCCGAAGTACTGGGATGTTTAAAATCGGCGTACCGCTGAAAAGTTATTTACGTAGTACAAAGAAGTGCAGTCAGCTTTCCGGAACCATACCTAAAAACTTTTTATTTCTGAAAAGTGCAGAGGCTCAGTTATTATATTTCATTTCACAAGTATGATTAATTGATTATCCCATTTACTGTTAATATTCATAATTAATGATCGTTAAGATAGAATAGCAATGCACGCATAAAAAGGCAAATGTACGTTACACAAAGCAGCATTGGGAACCATATGAATGAAAAGTTCCAAAACCACCTAGTTTTTATGCGTTTTTGCATATATGTAAATTGCAAAAACGCATATTGGGAAGAGGCTGTGTGT